AGAAGAGTACACCACAACTGAATAGCTGAATTTAGCTTTCAGAACCATCCCTGAAACTTCAATGGGAACAATCGCGAGGGGAGCATCCTGACACTCAAGTGGATACTTTGCAAATTTATGCATTGAGATACTTCAGAATTGACTGTACACTTCATCCCCACAATCCCACCACCCTTGAGTCACTTGCAAGCAAAGAAGGAGTCAAAGTGAAGTTGTTCCTCAACAGCGCTCTTGGGTGCCATGTGAGGAATTCTCCTGCAAAATGCGCCCTTTTCACTCTCTCATCGACACACAGAATCAAACTGGAACTCGCGTGTTTGAATCTCGGCCCCCTTCAAAATTCATGGCCCAGATTCATGAAGAATTTCCCCGTGCGAGATTTTTCCCGCGCGGAATTTTAATTGGGGATTTGTGTGATTTTGTGAAAGTTGAAAATTCCGCAGGAGATCTTGTGCAATGATCACGTGAAGAATGTCTCTCACTCTCGGGCTGGGTTTGAAAAATAAGTGAGTACAGTATTGATTTTGCGGGTGTTGCACCTGGCAAAGGTGCCTTCCTTGGCTGGAGGTTAACCCGTAATCGTTAAAATTATGATCGCTATTCTCAAAATTGATATTTGTGCACATTCACGATTTCCCAATAAGACATCCATTTAATGTGGTGTCTCTTTCATGTGATGCCCCCCTCGCACGAGCTCTCACGAGAGCGCCATACACACTTTGGGTGAGTCAATAAATTACAGTTCTTGCACAGATGAAATATGGGGGAAAATTGAAAATTGCATCTGAGAATCAATAACTCTGGCAAGATGGGAGATGAAAGATGGAGGAACGGACAAGATTGAGTGGATTTTTACGTTAAATCTCTCTCCTTCTCTCGCTTCCATCCAGGAGGAAGGAAGCGCGGCAAGAGAGATGCGAGCGCCAAATGATGGCGAGAAGCCACTCACCGGATTATTGCACGGGTATAAAAGTTTCCCACCACGAGCAATTGAGGACCCAATCTTAATTGATTGTAAACGCAGAGATGGTTTATTCTGCACTGTTTGATGTCTTAATTGAGCTTAAGATGCGTATTATTTGCTGAGAAACACAACCGTGGATGTTTCGATTAAAAGGTTCGTCGCTTCCCAGGCATTGAAGTCTTTCGTTCACTTTCTCATATTGTTTTTTTTTCTACAGGGGAGGGAAGAGAAATCATGCCTTTCTGACTGTCCAAAACTCAATATTTCCACATCCAACTTACTCCTTTCGACCAAGGGAATCCATCAAAATGTCCACTGAGGGACATCTCGGTGGGCTCTCTGATCAATTAGTCGCACACAACTTTAGCCAAAGTCAATATTTGACGAGCAAGTGCACAAGAAATGCGCCTTTCGTCAGTCACAGAGGACCATTGGAATTCAATGAAACCGCGCACGGGATGACAACTTGGAGTTGCAGATGATCCTGGAGATGCAAAGGGATTTCTACGAAAATATATGTTTTCTGCCCAATTGGCAGCCTCTCAGAAGGTCCACCTCCTCCACCCGCAACGGAGACCCCCGCCATGGGAGGCTCGCTCGAGTGTGGAAATATGAAGAGGCCACGAGACGTGTGGCGTCAGAGAATCTCCATGGCAGACGCCCTGAGAAGTGCTCGAAGGAAAAACACAACAAATGCAAAATTGACAATGTCCCGTGGCGTCCGAGAGCATCATTTAACTCCCATATAAGTGCATCATATACGGACCACTCTTCTCAATGAATTGCACACGACGAGAGGAGTCCAGCGGCGGCGCAAAAAAGAGGCACCTTCCAATCCTGCCAAGTTCGCGACGAAATGTATGTGTCTGTGATGGTGGAAAAAAGGGAAAATTTCAACCATTGTGCAGAATTGTTAACGGTGCCAGATGAATTTTTATATTGCCAACCAGTCGTGCGTTTCTGTCCTTTGTGGCAGATTTATTCTGCAGCATCTTCACCTCCCAAGTGATGTGATTTTGTAATTTTTTGAATAATTCAATTATAGTTTCATGACCTTGCCCATGGAGAATTTCTTTAGAAATTCGCAGCGAGAATAACTTCCCACCTCGACTGAGTGGTGCAAGAAAAACAGCCAGCAAGGACAGTAATTGCAACAAAGCTCTCAATAGTGCAGGCTGATGCAAAGGCGCGAGGGGGAGATTCTCTTGAGATGCCGATGAGGAATGTAAAATATTGCAAAATGTGATAAAATGCCAATCACTTGACGATTGCTCGATACTCGTCCTCCTTTTTTCCTCCTCTGATGGACCCACATATCACGCGATCTTACGCCTCGTGATCATGGCAGTTTCACTATTTCATAATTAAATAACATTCCACGCCCGAGAACTGTGCCGTGCGATGATAAAGAAATCGTCACTCATGCCTTATTGCAGTATAATTAGATCAATTAAGTGGGAATTTTAATCAGGTATTGTTGAGGAATCTATTTCCGTAACCGCTCAGCAATGTGCGAGATCACTCTATTGCGATTGAGACACGAAGATTCTCCATCTGATATCTCGCCAGCAGCATTCTGGGGGCATCTTGATGCAACTGCTGGGGACATAAATTAATTTTACGGCGATGGAAGAAATAGGCAGAAGCATTTTGACTACTTGACAAGCACATCAAAATGTAATCCACTGAGACTCTGTGAGAATTCCATCAAAATTTTCAACGGCCCACAGACAGCAACTAAGAAAAACAGTTCAGTAACAGTGCTGGACAGAGGAGGTGAGATCATCGAGTGACAAAATTTTCAAGAACAAGTATAGAAACATTCTCCAGACTGAAATAAAGGCTTCACTGTAGGAATGTTTATCCCACTTCTGGCACCAATCTATTTGCTAAATTTCACTGTTGATTGTTTGCACTGTTTTCTAAACGACTGAGCCGAAGAATTAACGACAACACGTGGACCGATTTTGGCATCCCATTGACCAATACCCGAAATACCACTCTGCAATCGATTAACTTGCTCAAGTGACAAATTGAAGATCAATCTCAGCACGAAATTGATCTTGAAGCGCATGCACATTTGGCCTGTTGCACATGATGAATGCGGATTAATGGGACTGATCCGGCGGAGAGTGTCTCTCCTGGCTCGCTGGAGAGGAAGTGACACTCTCGATTGGATTTGACAAAGTCAATTGACCGCAAAAGCCACACAGTGTATGGCTCGTCGTGGCATTTCTGCTCGTCACGCGCGCGCAGAAATGGCAAATGCTGTCGATGTGATGCGCGATGAGGCAGGAAGACGCACCAGAGTCGAGTCTGCTCCAATATCTCAGGATCACGACACAAATCTTTGTCACATCCACGATCACTGTGGCTGGAAACGAGTGCGATGGTGCGGCGCAAAGATGTGCGCGCACCGTGTAATCTTTCATCAAATTAAAGTAATATTTGAGAAATTCAATCTCTCTTCCACTCTCTGGGACTTCTCCTGGGCCGAGCAGAAATCTCAGAAATGTCCTGACTCGCCGCCGTGGGAATTACACTTAGCATGTGCACAATCCGCGGAGCAGGAATGAAATCTCGCAAGCAGCCACAAAAATTATTCCAACCAATTACACCATTTCTCATTTTAATTGTAACCATCCCCAGGATAAGTGAGGAGATCAATGGAAACCTGGCGAATATCCTCCGAGAGTAACCTCTCTGGATGGCCGATATGCAATTATTTTATTCTCAATTACACTGAATAACCATGAGATAAGCAATTATCAGTTTTTATTGCACATATCAGAGGCGTGAATTCCGAAGTAAGTGAAAGGAACTTTAGGAATTTTCTTGCTAAATACTTTATTGCTAAGGCAAATACTCTAGACGATGCTTAACTGGCAATTTTATAATCCATTGGTATTCACAGTGTTTTTCACCAATCAACCTCAAAAAATAATAATCAACTCAACTGTGAGGACAGATTTTGCCAGCCTCTCTCTAAGTAACCGACGCCTAAATGGTATCTTCTTCCCATTTCGTGCAAGAGAAGGTTGGAAAAGCAAAGTCCAGCCGCCAGAAGAGTTACTGGGATGTTCAGGTGAGCAAATACACCTGGATCTCCTCCCGAAGTGCACCATCGAGAATGACACCGACAAACAATGCTGTTTGCCTTTCCGATTAAGCCTTTAGGCGTTCGCCCGGAGTGTCCAGATCCTCCACAGCTCCATGTGTGTACTCTTGACGAATTGAAAAGTCATGTTGGCGTGGCTGAAGGACTCTCTGTTTGCAAACACCAGCACTCTTGCCCTCTGCTCTCTGGCCAGAGCTGAATCACCGCGCCCGATGTGCGGGCACGGCGCTTTTTGGGCAATTGCTGTCCATCGTGTGACCCCACGAGAAAATCTCTCGAGAAATTTTTATGAGGAATTGCGCACACAGCGCGATACTTTTATTGCTGCTCCGTGTTAAGATCGCTGTCGGGAGGCTGCTTTACAAAACACTCGCTGGACACACACACGTGTTTTGTATACTAATTTCATATACTTTTTTGTGCCTCTTCATCGCTCGATACGCTTCTTTTGTCTCTCTTTCTGCCCTCTTTCGTCTGGCGACTAAGAGGAAGAGTTTGGTCGAAATTTTCTCCCCAAACTTTATCAATTTTCACACTTCAGTTTCAAAAGTCTATCTCAAGTCTATTCAAATAGTAGCCTCCAAAATCGAAAATGTCGAAAGGTAAAATCGTAACTTTTCACTCGTTTCACTGCCTATGTCGTTAAAATCTCGCCAAAAGTGACTGAAAATTTTAGTGATCAATTCTGAGGAATTTTTCGCCGCAAACGCCGCTCAAGCTAAAACATCCGGGCAATTAGTGAATCTCGCTAATTGATAAATCGGCATCCAAACCATTTCCCACACACAAAAATGTCTTAAGACATGCTTCTACGTTGACGGGGCATCGGAAGAATTGAGAGAAACTGCAACAAAGTCCAACAGACTCCACACAAACAGAGACCCAAATTCTTATTGATACATTTATTTTCTCTTCTCTTTACATGCGTGAAAAGTTTTAATTTGTAAAAAAAATGTCCTACTTATTAAAATGCTGCTTTTGCCGATTTACTTAAAATACTCTCTTTCATATATACAGGAATTTTCTTTAAGAGTTCTCTTAATATTTAGAAAAAAATATCTTTTAAAATGTACGCATTTTCCAAACTAATAAATTACAACAATTTCTACTTTCAGACGTCAATGAAAAATATTTTCACGTAAATTTTTTGATTTCACTTTGCTTTTTTCTTATTTTTTTAATGTACTATGAAAATAAAATGTCATATTTACAAAACTTACGGCTTCCTTAATTAGACATTAAAGAAAACAATCTTTTGCTTATTTTTCATTTTTTTGTCAAAGAGGAAAAAGATTTATCATCATTCTTAATAGTATAATTTAAACTGGAAAATCAGTCTTTTAATCGTCAATTTATTCTTCTTCTACGATTCATTCTAACAAAAAAGAACTCACATCTACGAAATAATTTGCGTATTATAGTTACTGTTTATTTGAAAACTAAATGTATATGTATAAGCAAGAGTCTAGACCAGAAGGATTAAGAGAAAAGGAATCTCTAATACTGTTTCACGTATAATCCATATTCGAACGTGGGCTATTAATTTGCAAAATATATTTGTCAAATATAAAAAGAATAAATTAAGCGAGTTAATAATAAAATAATTTATCAAAAAACAGAGAACATTTGGCTCAAGATTTCTTGCTATCTCCTCTAATCTTTCACGCAAGTTCTGCGTGAAAACATTCTCGAGTGACTGGATAAGTTCGGAGGAATTGGGCTCACCTACAGGCACGTGTGTATAGTCTTTTGTATCCTGCACAGCTTGCACTTCACTTCGCAACACCAATGAAACATGCAAGCGCATCGCTCTACGACCGTCACTTCCTGAGTGCGGTAGCCGCGACCGCAGCACATCAGGTCACAACCGTCAACGCCGATTGAGGTGTCGTTGCACTGGCGGCCATGAGTGCCCTGGATCCCAAGCCTAGGATTGCGCTCGCAGAAGCCAGGCGACGGTTCCAGGTAAACCAGGTCCATCACACCTGGCGGTTTGTGTTCTGGATTGTAAGGCCTCAACTGAAAATGGTACCTAAAAGTAAGGGGAAAAGTGGTAAGCTATTTATGGTTCAGACATGTCAATATTATCAGCAGGAGCTAAACTGGAGTGCCTCAAATTTAACCATAGTCAATTCATAGCTCCATAAATATAAGCATAAATGTAACTAGTTTTTATTTGCTGACAAATTGACAAGTAACTATTCTTTAAACTTTAAATATTCAAAAAGACCCGCAAATCGTTCTCACATTTCTCAGACCACTTCGCCACAAAATCATTTGCTAAATTTATGGTGAATATCAATAAAATGAAAATTGCCGTCTGCACCGCAAATTGAGAACATTTGCTGGCAAATGAAAATGCTATGGAGAAATTGCACAGGAGAACCTGTTGGAGAATTTCCTAAACGACCGATTTTAAGTATCAAACTCATTGGCGCGTCTAATAACTTTGTGCTACTCTGCAGTGGATTTCAGCTGATCTCCACGGAGGTCCGAATGGAGACATTTTCTCATTGAGAATATGTTCACCATCAAGTACCATGCAAGCAAGAGGTCAATTAATTTCACAGTGTGAGGAAGTCTTGAGATCTCCACAATGGCTTGTTGGCGCGGGAACTCAACTCGCGCAAGAACACCCACATTTCTCACGGGAGCACTCCATCTTGAGGCACAAAGTGAGTGGCGAGTGAAAAGCTTTCTACAGCGCGTGTAGGAGGTCTCTTACCTGTTGTACCGCTTTTGCTGCTGCTGATGTCCTCGCACGTGGACAGAATTGCTGGAGATGCTGTTGGGACTTGTGGAAGTGTGGCTCACTTGGAGGGCATTGCTAGAACTATGCACTTTAATGGCGTTGTCATTGGCGCCACCGCTGCGTAAGCTGTTGCTCACCATCACCCGCGAAGCTCCGTCAAAGCGATCCTTGAGGTTGTCTCCGACAACCCGGAAGTTTGGCAGACGCATCCAGCATGTTTTAACAGTACACGATCCTGACATTCCATGGCACTTGCATTCCTTGCGCATCTCCGCCTGCACATGCTGTAAAGCATAGGAAAGGAACAACTTAGAAAAAACTATAACTTAAATCAAACTGTAGAATCCAAAATTTCAAGTGAACTAGAAATGAATCCATATGATTATCCCTCAATTTTCCTATCTACACTAACTCTCACTCCCATCAGGGGCGATCAAACCTTGTTTCAGACATTCCAACTTAATCAAAGACCTCCCTGTCGTCTCGTGCACTAAACTGGCCCTAATATCCTCACCTCCGAGACATAATCATCATTTTTCTCTCCTCTCACATCTCTCTTTCAGCTCCACTGGAATCCCCTTACCCCCTTCAATCCGGAATATAAATTGTTTTGTTAATCGTAATTTATAATCACTGCATTGCGCATTCATCTCTGTGGCTGTTCAACAAGACCATTTGCTTAAATTTACACGCAATTCATACCGGCGATAATTTAGATGGAAAGCGATGAGATAATTCATCCTGAGAACAGCGGGTGTTTCAGAGGGACGGAATTGCAAGTCTGAACCTTCTCCTATGGATTTTAAGAGCGATAAAATCATAAAAACATGACCAAAGAGAAGAATTAGGTAGGAATTGACGGAAAAAATCAAGTGTTAATTAGCAATTCTCTATGGTGGCACATTTGCAAGAAAAAAAGACTAATAAATTGACGAGAGACCATCAGGCAAAAAAGAGAGTCTCCAAAACACCCCGTGCGATGATCATGCAATAAATCATGGATCGGATGGAATTCTTTCCTCTTCATTTCTCTCTGATCTCTTTCTTCTCTCGCAGTTTTATCTCAAAGCCCCTGTCTTTTTTCCAGCCACAATATAACTTCTTGTGGTGCTCGAAACCTTTCACAATCACATCCTTAATATTGTGTAGTGTGTCACTTAATTGCGCTCACTGCGTTTTAATAAATTCATAAATGATTTTATTATACTTTTATCAGCTGTCAACAATTTAATTTATGGTCGCAAAACAAGTTTGACGCTAAAATCTTCAGGCAACTTGTGTGGCAAAACTTTTGCAATAATATAGGGAGTTGAAAAATATACACAACACACATATTACTCTCCCTCCGGACCGGCACGAAAGGAGAGGCAAGAGATGCCGTCCGCAAGATCTCTTATGCTTCTTTATCCACTGCTTTCTACTCATATGGGTGAAAGAAGGCGATCGCGGGGCAGGCGAGAAAAAGACTCATTTCATGATCGAATCCCGCGTAGACACGAAGGCAAGCACACATCATGTGCAAATAGGAGAAACACTTTATTATTGTATTATAAATATTGCAAAGAAGTGATCACTTGAGGCCTCGTCAAGAGAAGAGACCCATTTTATCGATAAAATATTTATGGGTGATAATAGTGGCGTTAAAAAGTAGATATTACCATTAAAATAACTGTTGTACAATTATTTATTATGAACGACTTCATTAAAACTAATCCACTTCACTATATGCTTATAATTTTTCTCTTCTTCAAATACACTCAGCGAGGAATATTTTCACGGAGGAGTCAGACTATCATGCATGTCAGTTATTTTTATGTGAGCATTTTCACCATTTGAATTCTAATTAAGCGACACACACAGAATTGTTCAACTGACATTCCCATCATCATCCTCTTTTGAGTCATTCTCAGCGGAGATCATTAAATTAGCCAAGTGATTCTGCGTGAGTAAGGGCACATGAGACAGAGAATTGTCATATGCAATTAGAAGAAGTACTTATTCCAATGCAATTAAGTATTTTTATACCCCCGAGGAACAATTATCTGCCCTGTTCAATGACAGATCAATTCTCTGATTGCACATCTGAAGAGGATTATTGTATGCTTGCGCAGGTGTTCAAGGGTCTTTTCCGTTTATTGTTTCACGTAGGAAAGAGTAACTCATATTTATTTCAATTATTATATCTATTTTTAAAGCACATTATTGCAAAGGACATTCCTTCGCGTGTAATTTTTGCGCCACTGAATATTATAAACGGATATTATTAGAGAATAAGCATGAATGAGCCATCCCTGTGAGCTGAGATATGTCATTGGGGACGAACAAACGCCGTTTTTCGATGTTTATTGTGTTTAATGCAATTTATCATGTAATCAATGATCAACTCACCGCTCTTCCAGCCTCATTGTTGTGCAGGTTCATCTTCTCACGGAAGTTTCGTCCTCTCTCGCCCGTGTCGACAAACTCTCTCGCAAATTTGATACCAAATCCGATGTTGTCTGAGCATCCGCCCCACTCCCACACAGGCGCCTTCGACTGGTGGCTGTAATCACACGTGCAGGACTCGATTTTGCCCTCGCTGCACGCCTTGGCGATCGAATGTGTCACTGCGGCACTCGTGATGGCGTAGATGAAGGCCGTCTCTCGGCAACCTGCCAGAATAGAAAGAGAGAACGATGGCATGTGAATGAGAGCCTATTGAACATAACCACTCCATTTGGCGGACAATGCCCAGAGAGACGAAGGATACGTCTTTTGCGGAAAATTGACAATTGAACAATTCACAAATCGACATCAATGGACCATCGAAAGGGGCGACTGAATGATGAATGGAATTCATCTCTGTAGATAGACGAATTCACCACTGCACTTCTCATTGATGACAAAAATCCATTGTTGACACTCGAAAATGCTATATAACTTCATGGGTGTGCGTCTGTTTTCTCACCAAAAGAAAGATCTTAATTCATTTTTCCCTTCTTCTCACTCAAAAAAAAAACTCATCTCATGAATTAAACATCGCAACGAGCAGAGGAAAAAAATGAGAACGATGTCCAATTAAAATACACAAAAACATCCATTGTCTACCGCAATTGCTATTTGCTGCTTTCATGTTAAATATGCTCCCCGAAAGACGTTTCCTCACCAATTTTCATGCCATTCGAATACGTCATAAATTCCCAACATAGGGCATTGATGTCTTTTGTCTCTCTCCAGTTTCGTTGAGTAAGCAAAGCGCGACCACGAATAGATTGCCGGTCGTGAAACGCCCAAAACGCCCCTCGATGCTAATGTTATGTCTCATTTCAATTCCTCGGTGTTTTTTCGGCAAAACAAATTTGATGATCCACCCCTTCTTGAGTCTTCTATGGCATGTCTATTGACCATTGAGCATTTAAGAAAGGGGGTGGAAATTTCGCTATGCCGGAAATCCGGCAATTTCAACACAATTTCAATAGGATTTTCTCCGGGTATTTCCGTACTAGACATTTGAGGTCACGAGAATTACGAAGAACAATGATACCCAGTGTATATACTTTGAACCACTCCAATATTTAAGTTATTGTCTTTATCACATGGAATATATCACCGGAGAGAAAACAAATAATTCACAGAAGGGAACATGTCTCAATTGTATTTCTGAGAAATTTTCTATCATTTCTTGTGCTAACACCACATTTTTTTCGAACTCATCGCGCAGTTGTCGCTTGGTCATAAAATTGGGCGAGCTGAGACGAACCTGGGAGAAAGAGTGTGAAAGAATTTTATGAAAAATGCCTCTTCTTCTCCTTCACGCGAACATCTTCCGTTAAATTACCACTCAGTATCTCGTCATTAGGGTGTGTTAAAGGGAAAATTCTCTAATTTCGCATGGCGTGGAACAAATTTCCCCTCAAGGTTGACACACTGCTGAGGGAATTCTTTTGGGCTCATGATCAACTCAGTAGGATATCCATTCACAGTTGACAGAAGCTTCCTCATTCACACAACAGCCTGAACACTCACTGACTACTGAAAACGGACCTCTTGATCCTGGCGTGAAGAGAAGACAAGCTGCGAGTAGGAACTCATAAATGTCTCACTCGGATGGGACAAAATTGTGACGAATTACCCTGTGCACTTGTGTCTTCCCCATTCAGTGGCACTGCACGGACTCTCTTTTGCCCAAAAAAGCATCGCTCAGAAGTGGGAGAAAACTATCAATCGTAGGTTTATTTTGATTGATGATGACAAATATACGCGAGAGGCCAACAGAAGTCAAAAGAAACTCACCAAACATGCAAGAATGTGGCCACCCAAAAGGGGTTCATCAATTGAAGAATCACTGACAGTAGGAAACATAAGACAGGTAACAGGGTCAAGATATTTCACTCAATACCTACTCTGGAAATTGATGATGCACTGGAGTTAGAATGAGTAAATCCATTTCGCGTATTTGATAGTGATGCAATTCTGGAGGGAAAATTAGTAGGAATTGTCTGTAGAAACCCCTTGCACACTCCTGGGAAAATACAGCAAGACATCTTAATATGAGTCATCATTGTAGGTGGCCAAAATAATCACTTGATCGTGAACACCTGGAGATGAACGATCATCAGGTGCAATTCAGCCGGTATAAACACTCTCCAGCTCAACTTTTTCGAAGAAGTAAAAAGTCCTCATCAACATCTCTTGGCCTCTTTAATCGACACTCGGTGGTGTATGAACGTATGTGCATAATAAAATGAGCTGTGCGAAGTCTCATAAGTCAATAAATAACACACTGCTTCCATGTGAATTATTGTAATTACGCGCTATTAGTCGTTTAAACTATTACTGTCAATTATTCTTTCATGGTAAGATAATCGCTGTATAATTTAAAATGGTCATATTCCTTACACTCTCTTTTGCCATACAATATTTCAACCAAAGAGTTGATTAGGAAGACTGGGAAGGGGAATATTAGTTCCGACGCCCGTGTGCGGAATTAGCCAAAGTGAAGTTCTGCTCCATGTGAATGACAATTTGTACAGCAATGAGGAAAGATTTGCTGAAGACGTGAGCAAAAAAGAGCATCTTCAGTGCTCATGTACACAATATAATAAACCATTAATTCATCGTGAGTTTTTGCCACATTGCACGAAGATCCCTCCACACACATGAGAGCAAACATGAATTACCATTCATCAGCAATTTTTCTCACAGCGATCGCACTTTTTATCCCTTTCTCCTCCTTCTCATTTGATTGCACACCTTCCATATACCGGCAGATTTAACCAATTTTCACACACAATCACTAACCGCATTTTCTACCCCGCGCACACCTCACACCATCCGTGCGCAATTTAGCGTATTTATGTAAAATAGCATCTATCTCCTTATACTAATGCGACACGATTCACATTTTGTGACAGCGAGTGATTATTTCGATATTTTCGACGTGCTGCTCAGCCATGGAGACAATCTCTAAGAAAACAAACAAGAACGACATGCCATAATAACGTTTCAATGGACTCATTGTTCAACCCAGTGAACAACATCTTTTTGTGCCCTCTTCGCCGTTTTTCTTCATCGTCAGCAAAAGTCACATTTTTCACCTTTTTAGCTTCAGCTATCAACTTGGTTTTATGGGAAATCGATGCTCAAAATGAAGGATAATTGCTTAAAAACTCCAATAAAACTTAAATTGAAACAAAGTGTATATTATGACACTGAGAATTTTGAATAGAATTTCCTTCAAACTCTCGAGATTTGCGGAAGCTATTCGACTTACAGCTTTCCAGGTTCCAATTGTGTGTAATTGAAAATGCACACGATGATCGCGCCAATTCCATAAGAGAAAACCCGCGTTAAGATTCCACAATTCGCTGGTAGTGCGATAAAGACAGACTTTGGTCGTTCTAAACAGCAATTATTATCGTGTTTTCCATCGCGGATCTCGAGGAGAAAATCCATTAAAGGAACATTGAGCACAGAGACGAGACAGTGCGGTGATCACTTGAGAGAAATATTCAATCAACACGGAAGGAATTCTCAATCATTGAAGCAGGAAGAGAAATTTCCCGAACGAAAAAAAGCATGTAAATTGAATCTGTCGTCTATCGCAGCGAAGAATCTACAATCTGAACGACTGACAAGAGAGAGAATGTGCGTCCCTGGGCGGAGGGATTCGCTTTGCACCCGAATTAATCCCTCAATTGTGATCATTTTTGATATGTAATCTGTGCGAGGACAATTGCAGGGTATTTCACCCATCTGATAAAATTACTCTCATTGCATAATAAACATCTGTCAACGACGTCGGACAATGAAGTGAGGAATTCCTCTTCATCATTAATATGGGATCAAGAAGGGAGGATTACCCATGTTCAGCAAACATGCCTCTTCAGTGGGTATTTTTCGTGAATTGTGTCACATGGAAAAGTATCCCTAAAACTCTCTGCACAAAAAGGAAGGTGAAAACGTCTTTGGACCACTTGAGAACACCTCCAAAGGACGAAGAGTGGTAGTTTATTCATCCTGAAGTGATTTGTCAATAGTGGATGTCCTCTGGAAAAACAATCCTTTCCCCAATCATTCAGAACTAAAAGATGTTTATTTGTACAGCAATCAGTTGAGATAGGGTCTTTGGTATTTTTAATCCATCTTCCTCTTCATTACTTAGGACAATATTTAACTAAGCCCAGGACAAACACGCGCGAGTATGAACAGCGTGAAAAAATACAATACACCGTCCGAGGATGGTTTGGGTATAAAAAAGCAATATACAAGTCTCAAGGGTGGTTTAGAATGCTAATGATGGATAAAATACCCCTCTGTGTGAGAGATAGTGTCGCGTGCTGCTCGCAATAATCTCTTTTGTTCACTTTAAACACTGTCTCTTGCTTGTTCTGCCTTTTTTCTGCGACCGTCAACAGTGATATAACATAGTTGGCACTCATAATTATGCAAATGGTCATGTTACTACATTTGCAGTTCGACCCATTCACCCTAATATCGCGCTGTCAATGCACAAAACAACCCATTCAATGAGACATGCCATCAGCAAGGGGTTGAGAAACCGCATGAGATTCTCGAACATTCCAAAAATTCACACCCAACCAAGAAGAGAATCAATTAGGAAACGAAATTCCTTACCTCGATCCACAATCTTTCCGAACAGATTCTTCCCACGGAGGAAATTTCGCGTCGAGCAATTCCACCGCCGATGTCGGAATTGATGCTGACACTCTGCTATGGCCATGTTCGCACCGCGAACAAGAGCCCCGAGGACTCCGGGATTCTCTCTCACGAGACGCCTCTGCTTTCGGCGCAAGGTGGAGTGAATCGCAGGATCCATGTACAGGATCTTCGAGTTGAGAGGCGATAGATTGTTAGGCTCACCCACTTTGGCGATGCCCCTAAAAGAGAAGAGGAGACAAAGACACGTTTATTGACACTTTTCGCAGATTTTTGTCTAATGACTACCTGTCAAAATATAATTAAAAAGAAATCCTTTACAAATACTATCTTACATGGAAACAAAGATAATTCTTTGCGATCTCCATGTGATCCTCACCACATCTCACAAATCTCAGTTAAATCTCCGCAGTCAATTAAGAGTGGGAAAAGAATTAATTTCTTCTCACTCTCGTCACCTCAATCACATAGCATAAATAAAATGTGGGAGAAGAGTTCACAAAAAAAGCACGATGGATCGATGTCACTCTTCGTGAGATCAACCCTAATCCCTTAAGAGATTTTCGCTGTTGAAGACAGCAAATTGGGTTCGTTGTCTCTTTTTTCAACTCTGCTCCTTCTCAATGGGATTTCTCAATATTTCTTCTTCATTGAGATATCAAATGAAAAATGACGTGCTCATGCAAAGAGAGGGAGATTCCACTGATCTCTTAGTGTCGATCGACATCATTAATTAAATAATTGCTCTCAACAATTTGTGGGTGTTGTTTTTTTTCTGTATACCTTCCATCATCTGCCATGATCTTTGGGTTGCTTCGCCACAATGTATCTAGCATCTAAAATGTAGAGGAATTATTCAAATTCCAAGAGATTGGAAGGATGAGTAATTCATTTGTGCTTGATGGAGGTATACATATCGAATGAAGAATGTCTGGATCAATTTTGAAGCAGTCATCGACTTATGAAGGCATATTTAAGAAGAGAAGGTGGCGATAAGGCAACAATTCTCCTCCTTTACGCGCCATTCTCCTCCACATTTCAGTGTGAGATCGTCCAGATCGATTAAAATAAGACATGATAGACAGCTTGACAAAAAGATCCCCATGAGCAACGATCACTCCATCATTTTGTATATACAAAAATCTCTCGACAAATTACACCTCCAATAATTGCCCAGTTAATTTTCACTCATTTACCACTCATCTAATAAACCTTGTCCATTTACGAGGAACTGTATTATGAAAATACCTGAAAATTGAATCACGCAAATACCAAAGTTGATCACGAAGCAGTGACACATTCGCATCATTGCCTGTGGATGATCATTTGTTGTCATGATGCCATGAAAAATATGTTGTGTGCGATCGCGTAACATCAACCACGCATCTGCCATACTAATAAGATCGCGCTGAGAGACCACGCAGCATAACCTCCTTCAGCATTTCTTTGCCTGGCTAAGGCCCCACCATTGCGGCTGCCCTCTCCATCGCCCCGTTTGCTAATCTCTCACGTGCATTGCAATGAAAAGTGTCTTCACTTTTTATTCATGTTGCAAAGACACATCGCGAGAAGAGATCTCTCCGCCGCAGTGATCTCGATCTCATGAGGCGCATGAGACAATTTTGGTAAATTAAATTGACATTTATATTTGACTCAATCTCTCTCATGAGTGGGAAAACACATTGTATCGTGTCCCTTTTTATTCGCCATCAAGGGAGCCAAAAGATGCTTCAAACTTTCGAGAACAAGAGCATGAAGGTTTCCAATAAGTTTCATTGTTGCTCTTTAAGTTAACCGGCGCCCGTCGGAAGCTAAAAGTCCCACTTCAAACCATTTTTCTTACTATTATTTCACTACTCCATTATTTTCAGGTTCGGTTGATCTGACGCTTTCTCATTTAAAATTTTCATCACAACTATTCGACATGATTACAAGATTGAGCATTCTAAAAGTTACTGGGAAATATATATTTCAAATATTTCACCATCTCGCGGAAAGCTTTCAAATTGCAATCCACTTTGCGTTTCACTCATTCCCGACTTTCTTGTCATGTTTTTTGGCCCCAGCGATCAATCGAGGAAGAGATATCGTGGCGATAAGTATTCAAGGAGTCAATCTGCACCATCGTGAGAAGATGCCAAAAGCGCTCGGCGACTGCCCACAACGTCAGGTGAAGGCAGATTTCGGGGCCAGCCCTGCCCATGAGATGTGACATAAACAAGAGACGTCTGGCACCAGGTCGCAGCGTTGATTACCTTTTATGTGAATAAGGATAGCGCCATCCGCGTCTTTTCATCTCGCTGCCCATCATGTGCAGCTTTTTCATCTCTTCTCTTTTTCTCCGCGCACCTCAATCTTCATCACAATCGCGCCCCTGCGCATCCCCTCGCACACGATCTGTCTCTTGGGCGCACACATTCACTTCTTGCGACCGGGACATTTGATAATTGATATTCCATGGGGTAACACGGACAAACATGATCGCAATTCGGTTTCTTATGGTCAAGACAACATCGCCGCGAAGAGGCCACCGAGCGTCGATTGTAACGAGACAAAAACAGTTTAATGCGCCGCACTTCAAATCACCAATGCAATTACAAATTATAATGTTTATTTGTAAAATGTCTCCGCGCACTCACAGGGATTTGGCGGCGCGATCGCGCCTATAATTGTGCGTGAAATTGGCCTTTTCATGCCTGCAAGCCAATTTGCAGGTGCTCCTCTATTCACTCTCTTATATTTTCCAATCCATCGCCACACCGCGCGTATCTCACTTTACCCCCAATATAAATAATTGATAATGATGAGGAATTGTCTTGAGACTTGCCTCTTGTTTTTGTCGCCAACTAATATAATTGGCATTGTATCTAATTATCATTTTAAATCCCATTCGTTTCCACACATTGCGCTCTTTCTCTCTCTCCTCTTGAATCTCAAACTATATGGTGTCGCCGGGGAAAATTCAAGAGGCGACGGATGTGTGATCTTTCTGTCCAAGATCGCGCGCGATCGGCGATGAGAAGAATGTTGTCACCAACATGAGGTGCTAATCACTTTAATTGGACAAATTTGGCGTTTGGTGACTGGAGGACAGTTGACTTATGTTGTAATTTCCATTGCAAATCCCCCGTAAAAGCGCATCTTCACACACACCAAATTCCTGAGAAGCTGAGAAAATTAGATAGATAGAGAGGAAGATTCTTAGCGCCACACATTTTTGTCAATAGACTGTTTGAACAGCAAATCATCATCATTTCCTCTTGGAGGCTCTTTTTGGGAGAAGACGTTCTGCTATGTGTGTCACAGATCGTCCCACAATTGTTACTATACTCTTCACAAGAAGCATACACGTGGATATTGAATTGAAATCACGTACATGATAGCATTTATAATTGATGATCGTTAGTGGGTGTTTAACATTCATTTGCACGGAATACAAATCAATTTGCTGCCTCAATAGATTTCCCTTTTGTTGCACAAATTCACAAGGATTGGGGGGACATTTTTGACGCTTCTGTATGCAAATTAGGGTCATAAATAATGCCCATTGCTTCTGACGTGTGTAAACAAACAGCTATCAAATATCACTTGAGCTGTAAAACTACAGGTATGCTCTAAATGAGAGTAAGATGCAATCGCCGCTAAAGATTTTTACGCATGAAACGTAAACAATGCACAACACTGACCATCTCGACAAAAGTGTGTTTGATCTCATAACCAAATTCCACGGAATCTCCATTCAATCTCGTGGTTCAGCTCACGTTTTTTTTTGTAAGCTGGACCTTTTTGGAAGCCAAAACAACGGTGGGGCAGCAAATCATCGTTCTAGACACTGGAGAGGCGATATAGAGAGAATTTCTGAATGAGAGGAGAGTTAAAAGCCAAAGTGGAGATAACACTTTTTAATGGCTTAATTAGCTACAACAGCATTTGACTTCTTCGTTTGGTTGTTCTTTCTTTTTTGCGCCTCGTAGACTTCTTCAGGCGCGTTTTTTCGAGAAAACGCGTTTCACTGGTGTGCGGAGATTACAGCTTTTAATTGCATTATACATTTTCCTCCCATGGATCTCTAATCTCAAATGACTCCCTGATTCCGAGCGATCAATCATCGTAAAATAGCATTAATAAATGTGATTACTTCCTTACCACCACATCGAGCCTCTTCCACGTCCTGGCTTGTGCTTGCTCTCAACTTCTGAACATGTGCAGAGTGCCATTAGGTATATAAATACTAAAACTGATAAATCCATTTTAACACGAGTTTTCGTCTAATGACTGGATGTCTCTTTCACTGTGTTCTTTTCTATGCTGGCCTTCCAACTTGTCCCGGACTTTTCTTCCAATGTCTCTTCTCTCAAATTTCCGTCCAGCGTCTGGGTGACCAAACACAGTTCGCGATAGTGTCAATATGGTGTTGGGGGAAGTGTTATCGCGACGAGAGTGTCACACAAAAGGATGTTTGAACAACGTGGGTTCGTCACATCATTTCTGTCTTGTCTTCCTCGCACAAATCTATTAAAAATTACCATAAAAAATCATCACACCCCAACATTAGTCACTGTCTTACATCAATATTTGCAATAATCACCCAGATACACTTTTGTTCCGCCACCCACAGTCACTACCTGATAATTGTCACTGGGCACCTCTCCAAGGCCCACATTGAGTTACTGAGCTGGTCCGCTGATGAGAGCTTCCGTGGGTGATCGCGAAAGCTCTTCTTGGGCAATTGCTGCGCGTCGCACGGCTTAGGCGATACTGCTGTGACGAGTGTGTGACTGGCTCTGGTCGCGGCCACTGAAGACCGTCTCTCTCCGGCGCACACTGCAGAAAAAGCACACACTGCGAGGCCCCTGAAGACGCTCTCGAGCTTGCACGGCGAAAAGCCACACAAAGTTTCCAGAGAAGCGGGTCAGAAGACAATGGCACTCGACACTCTCGCCCGGAGGATGCGTGGCCACAAAACTTTCGATATCGACACTCCGTCCCACTCTGAGCTGCTGCCGCATAACCGGATGACTGAACGCGGCGAAAATTCTATCCTATCCCGTGCCTTGCTGCAGATTGACTGTGTGTCTCACCTGGCGTGCAGTGGATGCCTCGGCGAGTCGGAAGGAGGATATACAGACGGGGAAAAAAGGCGAGAGTGCTGTGCACGCAACGGAGGTCCAAAACGGGGTGGAGTCTCCGCGGCCCATCTATCTGTCCCGCTCTGGCCACGAGGCGGAGTGTGGGCTGCCCGCGGGCATCGCGGGTCTACACCTGTGTGGTCCTCCTCGGTCGTGCAACATTGGACTCCTTGGAGCATCCACCGACACACACCTGAAGACCCCGCGACACGCCCATCCGATAAATTTCTCACAGGCAGAAGAAAAGGTGTGATATGCTCAGAAGCGAGAAAGAGAGATACACGAGTGTGCGGGCCAGCAAAAACACATGTGAATGAAGTGGCGATGTGTAAACACGAGACTCTCGATGATCAAACATCTTTCCATCTCCTCTGCCATGGGTGAAACAAAGTGGATGAGTTCCAATGAGCAAGAAAATTGTCCGACCGTGAGAATCATGCGAGGAACTGGGGCGGGATGGTGCGCGCATTCCAGGGGAGAGAAAGGAATCCCAGTGCCACTCACAGGCCCATCGGAAGCAATTCACCCGGATAAAGTATCGCCACAGATCATCTTCAAGAGCTCAATTTGCGCCAAACGCACTCTGGAAAGCATCGGCGAGAGTGTCTCTTCCTCCCCAGGAAGAGAATCACTTACCATTCTCGAACTCAAAACACCATTTAAGTGGATGCAGATTCACTTTCTTTGATAAATTGACATTCGACTCTGTGTCTGTGGGTGGAATTTTTCTTGCCACTCTATCTTGACTTGTAGGAATAACAATTGGACAGGAGAAGAATCTCTCTTTTGAAAAACATCGCATTTATGTATGTAATATATTAAATATTACCACTGTTGTTTCAGGTTTTTGCATCTTAATGTTACACACATAATTCTACATGACTGTGATTCAAGTAATAAATTATTTGCACAATTTTCCCTATCACATAAATTCACCTTTAACTTAGAGTGCTGGAAGAACATCGAGAGAGCCAGTGAACAGCTTCCCTTAATCAATTTCAAGGCAATCCAAAAATATTTATCCCAAACTGCATAAAAAAGTATTGCGAGTTTGCTGATGAGAAGAAAAATAATAAATTTCCACTCTCAGTCGCCTGCAAATTTTCCAATTAATCTAAACACATGAAAATGGATAAATTGAATGCTTTGAGAAACAGATTGTGAATATACATCTTTTAATATGCAGCTCATGCATTAAATGGCGTATGGGATGGGAAAGATCGCGCACGAAAGAAGCATCTGGCAATTTTATGACTTTATGTTATTGCAAAAGGTTGCAATTAGAAAACAAATAACACACATTCATTTACTCAACTCCTTTCAGCTTGCTAATTGAGTAAATTGGAAGCCAAAAATATTTCACATATAAAAAAACTATGAGGTTTGCAGGAGAGCTTAGAAAGCTTCAGGGTCTTGATCCATTGAATACGTTCCACGAAATCCACATTGTGTTCTTCATAGTTCTGTGAATGAATATTGATTTGCTATGCCCATCTCTAAAGGATGGCGAGAGAATGGGAATAATTGTAGAAGTGCCACAATAGCTCGTGCCCTCCTCAGAAGTATCACAATCCGTGAAAATTTCCCAAAAAGACTGCCCATGAGAGAGCATCTGCATTCACTTAATGGCGTGATCGGTCAATTACGCCAGCCACAAATGAGGAAGTGATGCTGGAATTGAATATACAAACACATCTGCTCCATCTTGTGGGTATATTTTCAGAGTTTGTCTGCCATTTCGGGCCTTCATCGGCCACTCTCCACCTTCACTTAGAGATTCGAGGGCAAAAAAGAGGACAAGACATGAGAGTCAATGAAACTTTAGCCAATGTTGGAGAGAAACCCCTTGATATTGTGGGTGAAATGGTTTTCAAAACACACAGAAGAGGGAGATTGAAGATCTCAATGGTACTCACATCTATTTACATGCACTCTCTGAAGGATTGAAGAAGAATCATCTCAAGTGTCCACTAATCCCCATTGCATTTTCCCCGTCCACTTGGAGGTGTTCAATTGTTAGCTCTCAATGAATCACACACCTCCATTCGATGACCATCGCCGTCAGCAATTAAGGCCCCACGATGCATTAGTGCCCGATAGTTTTGATCATGGTGAGAGATTGGATACCATTCAGTGTGCAAACACTCTCCTGAAACTTTTATGATCCCGAAAAGATGATGGTCTTCTGAGAAAATTTCATCCAACATATAGCAATAACTTCTCGTGTAAATAAATACACTGAAAAATGCAATGTACTCATTCAGACCTCGAAGATGCAGGAGGAGAAAAAAATTGTGTATTTCCCACAAACCTTTTCACCTGAACAACTCTCTTGAATGCACCAAGTGAAAAAAAGACGACCGAAGACGGAGCTATTGGAATAAATTAGCACTTCGATATTAATTTTATTGTTGCTGCTAGATAAATATCGTAAAAAGAGAGTCTTCTGACACAGAAGAACTTAACCTTCCATCCTTTAGTCCGAAATTCTTCCACAGAAGAATCGCCGTACAAAGCCATTCTCGCCCTCGTCACTGAAGGGATGAATGGCAAACTGAAGAAAAACACTCTTCTCGTGAGAGAACGAAAAGAGCCTCCTAATAATGCAAACATGCATTTTACACACAGATATATTTGTTTTGTTTTCTCTCCACCTTCTCACCCTCCTCCGGAGCCACCTCGCCATCCCTCATTTATTGCTGCAATTGAGAATGACGGGAAAAGCATTTCGGATGGTGCTCCGCCGAACCATAAAATATGATTCATGTTTCTCCTAAAGTGTGAATTGGATTCATTAAAATGTTCGACCACCCGAAATGCCGTGAAGACAAGAGCATGGCTGTGAAAAAGCACAAAAAGCTCAATTCATTCAACTGAAAATATATCAATGTTAATGTAAAAACTATACTGCTCTAGTGAAAGCACTCTAGCAGCTCTAGCGAATACATCTCTCTCAGAACAATCTCTGAGTTGTTGTTTTGAGCAAAGATACCACACCGAAAAACTCCTCCCATGAAGCAAATTGTTTGACTAATTTGTGCAAAATCTCAAATTTGTTGTCTTTTTCCTCTTGTTTCCATCATCAACCGTCCGGGGCTCAATGCCATTCCACGGGATCCAATCAAAGAGATACTTTCAGCCAATGCTGAGGAATTCGCCGGCCTCTAGGAGGACCAAAAGCATTCGGGAACGGCAAGAGCCGGGGGATTAGGTAAAATGTATCATTAGCTCAAAGAAGAAGCCAGTGTCGCTTTTTTATCACACAAGACAGAAGAGGACAGGGTGATTTCTCTCTCTTACCTGTGAGCTTCTTTTCCCTCTGAGCCCCCGAGGGCGCAAAAAAGAGTGTGGCAAGGAAGAGTGTACGGACAAAAACGTCGAAATTCCGAACAAAACGGATTTCATGTTTTATTGTCTGGGATGCCTCGAGCCCATTTGAGACTTTGCTCACGTGTAATTGACAGCATATTACACGAAAAATGAAGCTGTTACATCTCTCAGGGAGTCTCTCGGCAACTCAGGACCACGGTACATTTCCACATGCTCCTTTTTTCTCGTCGGCCCTCCTCTGAGAGACCACCACTGATGACTGGCAATTTCTTATTTTTCATCTCTATGCGCCCCATGAGAATTCAATCTATCTACCTGATTTGAATTTTGCCACATTTTAGAAATTGTGACAGTCCAGATAGCAAAAGGTCTTCCTCCTCAACACCTCAATTTTCCACGCTTTTTGCACAATCAACTGCCTGGTGATGATGCAGAAAAGGCATCACTGTGAGAATGGCAGTCAGGATTGGCTGAGTGACTGAAAGTGAGCTTGAAAGTAGACATAATTACACATTGAAAGTATGAAAATAGAGAAAGGGAGAGACTTCATGTCTAAGTTGAATTTAAAACAAAAAAAAACAAAGTGTTTTCTAGAACATATTCACAATACAAGAAAATCAATGAAAACTGGCGAATTTTTATACACTTCTTTAGTAGATATTAATAAGTAACGCTCTTTGCTTATTGTATCATTCCACGCAAATTATCGCAAACCATCAGTCTTCTGTATATTGCCAAATCGTGGCTGCTCAGAAGAGGTGGGATTTGCCACAACTCAAATCAAAAATCCCTCATCTTAATTGACTTTTGTTGAGGAAGAATGTCTCTCTCAATTGGGATTCTCATCGTGTGTGTGGTGCTCATATTACGCCACACAGTCGAGATGGGTCAACATTTCAATTTTGAATCATTTCCTCCATGCCCACCCTCCACCATCATCAATCCAGCAATTGGTTACGCTTCCGTGGTGGTATAAAATACCACAGAAAGATTAAAGTGTTGTATGGAGAGTAAGTCATCACGCTAATATATTTATACATCTTCTCATCTTCGGTGTTCCCTTCTTTTTGTATGCCTTCACTCTTCTCCAAATCACCATCTCACCTCCGGAGGAGTGAAAAATGATTGTTCCTTCGCGCCGGATACCCACCCGAAAACATTTAATTCGCCACAAAATGCAGCTTCTTAATTTGTGGTCAAGTTCCATCCTCTAATTGCACGCCCCGCGCGTTCCTCCGGAGGGC